GTTAAGCCAGACATTAAAGAGATTTACAAAGCTGTAAAATAATGCTACTCGCTATATGTTTTGTTCTGAAGTATAATGATTTTTCATAAACATGCTACTTATTAATATGTAGTGGCTTTTTTGTTATTTTTAATGAACCTGTAAGAATTTACAATCTTTAAGTTTATTTTTATAACAGATATCTATAGATAACCCTGTTAAATATAAACTGGTGAAATTTTTAGTTTTTTAGGGTATAAATGGTCCTGAGACCAAAATGTTTTGAGAAGCACTTTTCTAATGTATTGGCTTAGATTTCAAATTTTTACATTTTCTTTTTGCTGTTGAGATAGAGTCTCGCTCTGTCACCCAGGCTGGAGTGCAGTGGTGCGATCTCGGCTCACTACAGCCTCGGCCTCCTGGGCCCAGGCAATCCTCCTCCCACTTTAGCCGCCTGAGTAGCTGGGACTGGTGTGCAACATCACACCCTGGCTACTTGTGTACTTTTTGTAGACATAGCATTTCACCATATTTCCCAGGCTGGTCTCAACTTCTGGGCTCAAGTGATCTGCCTGCCTGGGCCTCCCAGAGTTCTGGGATTACAGGTGTGAGTCACCGCACCCAGCCAGATTTTCTTAAATAAGCTATAAATATTAAGATAAGCTGTAAATATAAGTATTAAGAGTCAACCTTAGAAATACTGATATTCACATTTTTCTTTTTAGTTATCTGTGCATTTTCATCCCTCTGTGGCCCTTTTTGCAAAGACCATCCTTCAGGTGAGTCTAAAATAGCAAAAGATGAGAAATAAGAAAAAAATATATTATTTTAGATAATCAATAATTGGTCATACAGTGTTTTCTCTACCAGAGAGAATCTTGCACATTTTACTGCTCGTATAAAGGAGCAGTGACTTGTTTAGTACAGAGCAGCAGATAATTTTTCCCACTCTGAGATGAATGGAAGCAATAAGACATTAGAAAGCCACAGAAGTTATTTATTACATTCTAGCTCCTCTCCTGGAGAAAGACTGCCTCCCTTTCCCGTTTGCTGTGTTTGCCACTTCAGAGTTTGGTTCCTGATTTATGGTTAGATGGCCAACATTATTATTAGTCTATCCATCAAATCAACAGTACATCCTAGAATATGTGTGTATATGTGTCTGTGTGTTTAAGTAAAATGTGCATGAGAGATATTTGAAGAGTCATTTATTGTATATTTGTGTCTTCAGTATAATGTAATAGAAACTTACGTTTTTCTTCTTTTTTCTTATCTGGATGCACAGATATAATTTGAATTAAGTTTTTAAATTCCCCCTCCACTTTTTAGGGAAATTATATTCAGTACTCAGGGGACCCGTTGCAGGATTTCACCTTAATGAGATTTTTGGATCGATTTGTATACCGAAATCCAAAGCCCCATAAAGGCAAAGGTATGCTTCTGTTTGGTGCATTATTTGGTTTTCATTTTTAATACATAATAAACATGAGCTTATAACTAGGTTTTGCATTATACTGTCATAATTTTACATTTCAGAAAACACAGACAGTGTTGTGATGCAGCCGAAAAGAAAACATTTTATTAAGGATATTCGTCTTCTTGCTGGTAAATATAAAACTTAGTTGAAACTGAAAAGACAATATAAGACAAAAATGCGTAAATTGTGTTATTCTTTCTTCTAATTTATGAGAATAAAACTTGAGCACCAAAAGCATTATCCATCTTTTTTTTTCCAAGAATAGGTATTCTTAACTCTACTGTATCTGACTGGGCTTTTTAAAAACTTTATTATAGCAAATTTGAAACATACCCGAAGTAAACAATATAGTATGATGAATCACCACTTACCATCACCCAGCTTCGACAGTTATAACCATTTTATTTTATCATCCATAGCTTCATCAACAAGCCCTATGTGTATAATTATTATTGTTCACAATTAGACCATCTTAAAGCTCTAATATGAGGTTAGCAGCACAAAAACCCACAGCAGGTTTTGTCACAGAGCATCATTTTAAACTTAGTTAATAACCTACTTCTATATTCGGTAGCCATCTTCTGGATCTGAATCTGTTGTTCTATTCAAAGCAAACATTTGCATACTAGTCATCTCCCTTTTGTTCAGAGACTAGGGTTAAATAGACCTTATTTCGTTTAATTTTGAATGACTTACTTCCCAGAGGTCCAGAAATATAAAAGGACATAAACAAAGTTAGTAAGTTAGAATTAAAAGCCAAATCTCCTTTTACCCAGGATGAGTCAGAAAGTTTTATTCTGAAGAGGTAAAACTAATATCTTACAGTTCCTTATTTCTTAGTTTTCCTCAGTATAAAGGAAAACTCTGTTTACTTTGTGTTTATTCCCAGAATGGCACGCATTAATGGCAAGCCTGTCATTTTTTGAGCTGAAAATGACAAGTTTAAAGTGATGATTTATTAAAAGAACTCTTTGAATTTTTTATTTCTCTTGAAATGTGGGTCCTGGTTGCAATTGGAAAACAGTAGGAAAACTGTTGTTCTTTGTAACTGCACTGATGGCTGCGTACCTTATGCTGTAGCCAGTGAAGTTTCAAATGTTGGGTCTTCTCCACCTAGACTTTTTCAGAGATTGTCCCTTGCACTGCAGGGTCCCTTCTGTCTACCTTCCACACAATTTTGAGATTTTAGAATTACAGATATGCTGTATTTAGTCTTAAGAGCTTGAGTAACATAAAGGGGATTGCTATATTAAGTTAAAATGTTTAAATTTATTTTTGTAGTGAACAGTAAAGAGTTCCTTGCAAAAGAAGAAAGCCAAATACCAGTAGATGAAGTGTTTTTCCACAGGTACTATACTTAATATAGTTTCATTTGGGGGAACTGCTAAAATTTAAATTTTTAGATTTCATAAAATGCTTCATTAACATCAGCATATTTTGAAAAGATCAAAGAATATGTCTGTTAAGGAAATTTATAAATCAGTCATTTTGCTAATCTTAATATATCGTAGTAAAACTAAAGTAAATTTGGTAGTTTTGTTAATGATTTAGCATATAAATTCTGTTTTATGCTTTTGACTTTTTGGAATTTAGCCTTTAATTTCTTTTTATAATAGTTTTCTTTGTAGACTTAAAATCTACCTTAGTTTAATATAGTGATAACTCATGGGTAATTTTTCCAAACCATGGCCCTTAGAATAGATTCAGAAAAATTCAGTGCACTGCTATAGAAATAAGTCCTAAACCAACTAGTATTATTACCGAATGCCATATTGGTAGTAAAGTACCTCTTATTTCATCTGGTTGACTAGTTAATTAGGTTTAATTTGGCTTGGTTTTTTTTTTTTTTTTTGAGTCTTGCTCTGTCGCCCAGGCTCTCAGATAACTGCACCTTCTGCCTCCTGCGTTAAAGCAATTCTGCCTCAGCCTCGTGTGTAGCTGGGACTACAGGTGCATGCCACCATGCCCAGATAATTTTTGTATTTTTAGTTGAGACAGGGTGTCACCATATTGGCCAGACTAGTCTCAAACTCCTGACCTCATAATCTGCCCACCTCGGCCTCCCAAAGTGTGGGATTACAGGCGTGAGCCACCACATGTGGCCTAATTAGGCTTTTTTTAAATCATTTAGAATGAATAATTTTGAGGGTTTGATTATATTTGTAAATGGCTAAGTTTTGCTGTATTCTAATATAACAATAGGGCTGATAAAATATTATTCTTTGAAATGTAATTACACTTCACATTTCAAAAGTTTCCAGCTACTTTTTATTGAGTTAAACTATTTTTTTATATTACATGCAAATTTCAGTCATTTATTTCCAACTGAGTATACTCAAGATTTTACAGTTGTAGTTTCCCATTGTTCATAGGTGCTTTGATTATAGTAAGATTAGACCTTTAATAAAACTGTCAAATATATAACATGAATATTATTTTAGGTATTATAAAAAAGTTGCTGTTAAAGAGAAACAAAAACAGAACGAAGATGAAGAAAGTATAGAAGACGTGGATGATGAGGAATTTGAAAAGCTGATTGGTAATTTGTTTTGTTGACTCTTTGTAAAATAATCTACTATTTGTTAATAGACCATGGAACATTAATGGGAAAAGCGGCCTTAGTTTTTAAAAATCATTTAGCTAAGAATATGCAAATCACAGTGGAAGAGTAAGAAATACGTGGGACCAGGCGCTGTAGTTTATGCCTGTAATCCCAGCACTTTGGGAGGCCGAGGCGGCCAGATCATTTGCAGTCAGGAGTTTGAGACCAGCCTGGCCAACATGGTGAAACCCTGGCTCTACTAAAAATACAAGAAAACAAGCCAGGTGTGGTGGTGCACACCTGTATTCCCAGCTACTCAGAAGCAGAGGCATGAGAATTGCTTGAACCCAGGAGGCAGAGGTTGCAGTGAGCCTACATTGTGCCACTGTCCTCTAGCTTAGGTGACAGAGACTCTGTCTCAAAAACAAAAGAAAAATTTTGATGACATACAGCAATTCACCCGTTTGCACCAGAAAAATAGATGATTGTGCTTTGCATAGTCCATATAGGAAAAAATTTATGTTTGCTTGAGTATATTCATTGTTACAACCAAATCTCATGAAATAGAAATCCTTTTTACCATTCATAATCTATATTATAGCATATCAGTAGTAATTGATAGCAATAGTCTACTATTTCATCTTTTTTATCCTTAATCTACAAAGCTAGAGAAATTTTGATTGAAACTTAATAGACTTAAACAAAAAACATGGTAAATTGGAAAGGCTTACACTGATTTCACATGTTACATACTTTTTTGTTGTTTTTTGGGTTTGTTTTGTTTTCGGTTTTGTTTTTTGTTTTGAGACAGGGTCTCTCTGTCTCCCAGCCTGGAGTGCAGTGGCACACTCAAGACTCACTGCAGCCCTGCCCCGTACACCTTGTGGGCTCAGGCGATCTTCCTGCCTCAGCCCAACGGGTAGCTGGGACTACAGGTACTTACCATGATGCCCAGCTAGTTTGCTTTTGTTGTTGCTGTTGTTGTTTTAATAGAGAGGGGTCTTGCTGTGTTGCTCAGGCTGGTAAACACTCCTCCTCAGCCTCCCAAAGTGCTGGGATTACAAGCATGAGATGTTACATATTGTATCACACCTATTAAAAATGAGCACTTAAGTAGTTCTAATAGAGTAAAAAGGACTACAATTGCTAAATATCATTTTATTTGATATTCACCCTCATTCCATGAAAGAACTGTAGAAAGAGCCAAAATTAACTAGCTCCTTTTTTAGTTTTGGGATTTAACTAACATCAGTATTTCACAGGTTTATATACATTATTAAGACACACCAGCAACAGTCACGTTTATATTGTTTTGGTGTTTACTTGTCATAAACAGCAGAATCATGACTTAGAATAATTGATTCAGATATAAGATGTGTATCAGGCTTGTCATTCTTTGTTGTATCTCACAATTTCTGTATTCTCTGGCAGACACATTTGAAGATGATAACTGTTTCAGCTCTGGAAAGGATGATATGGATTTTGCTGGGTAACATACTTCTGTCTTCTCCTTCCTGTTTTTCCAGCATTTCCCAAATTGTTGTCTCTTAGAACAGTAGACCTAGAACTATGTGACATAAATGGGAAATGTATTCAAATAAGTTTGGGAAGTAGTTACAGTATTTTCATCTTGGACCTTTATAATGCACATTATTATTTACTCTGAGCAGTCTGCAAAGCTTTTTCCTTCTAAGTCATTTAATAGCCTAGTGCCTTGGTAGTCAGCAAAATACTACTTTAGAATACAGTGCCTCCTTTTGTATTACAAGTTATGTGTTTTTTTCCAGCAATGTAAAAAAGAGAACAAAAGGAGCAAAGGGTAACACAGCAAATGAAGATTCAGAAGGTAGTGATGATGAACTTGATAACCTGGACGAAGATGAAGTTTCTTTAGGAAGTATGGATGATGAAGAATTTGCTGAAGTTGATGAAGATGGAGGAACGTTCATGGATGTGTTAGATGATGAAAGTGAGAGCGTTCCAGGTAAGCATTTTTTAAAATAAGACATAAACTGTATCTTCCTTACTTCCAGTCTTAGGTTAGTTTTTCTGCCAAAGGTTTTTAATATAGCCCTGTATTCAAATTAATACTCATGTCAGCCAGAAATTTAAATAGGACCTTTTCCCTTCTCATTTGGAGCTGAAGAGTTTTTATTGTATGTTGTGTGTGTTTTCTTTTAAGCAGCTTTCTGAATTTTGGACTTTCACTTTAACCAACAACTAGCTCTGTACAATACATGTTGAGCTGAAATGCTGCCTTTTTTTTATCATAACTAGCAGTTTATAAAAGTTAGTCAATATTCATCACAGCCCAGCATAGATGAAGGTGAATATTTTATCTTTTTGTAAATTAGCAAGGAACACCCAAAATTGTTCTGGACAGTTGTCTGACCTTTCTGTTCTTTCACATACCTTCAGCATGCACATGCCTGCCCAGCATTCTTCCACTTATTCTGAACCACAGCAGAAGTTGCTTGTTTTAAGGGGTTTTATATTATTTGATTATTTTATTAATGAAGCTATTTAGAAAATTTTCTACTTGCATAAAATATTAGGACTATGCCAGTTATTCTTAGAGTCTTGCTCTCACTCTGTCCACAAAGCCTATGCTGGTGGAATTACAAAAGCCACATGGAATAGCAATATCGTGCCTTACCCTCAGAATAAAGATTTTAGCATATCTTGGAGTAATATTTTCCAGTCCTATTGTTTTTAAATTGCTTAAAAGCAAATTTTTTCATGTAACAGAACTTGAAGTCCACTCCAAAGTCAATACTAAGAGAAGCAAGAGAAAAAGTACAGATGATTTTGACTTTGCTGGCTCATTTCAAGGTAAGAAAAAGCATTTAATATCTTTTAAAAGCACTGTCCATGTGAAAGGTGTCATTATCATTTTGGGAAATGAACTCTCCTAAATTTGGTTAATAAAATTTGGGGTGAGGGAGGTTGTTTTTAAGAAAGATGTTAAGTGGAAATTATTTTCTGCACTAAATGCTGGATTTTGTCAGATGCTTTTTCTGTGTCTATTGAGATAGCCATATGATTTTTGTTTTTAATTGCTTATGTGGTGTATCACATTTATTGACTTGCGTATGTTAAACCAGCCCTGCACCCCTGGCATGAAACCCACCTGATCACGGTGTATTATCTTTTTGATATGCTGTTGGATTTGGTTAGCTAGTATTTTGTTGAGGATTTTTGCATCTCTGTTTCTGTATCTTTTAAGAGGAGCATTTAGGCCATCTGTTCATCTGGAAGTATTGGTCTGTAGTTTTCTTTTTTCATTATGTCATTTCCTGGTTTTGGAATTAGGGTGATACTGGCTTCATTGAATGATTTAGGGAGAATTCCCTCCTTATCTGTCTTTTGAAATAGTTTCAGTAGGATTGGTACCAATTCTTCTTTGGTGTCTGATAGAATTCAGCTGTGAATCTCTCTGGTCCTGGACTTTTGTTGGCAATTTTTTTTATTACCATTTCAATCGTGCTATTTCTTATTGGTCTGTTCAGAGTTTCTGTTTCTTTCTGGTTTAAACTAGAAACGTTGGATATTTCCAGGAATTTATCCATTTTTCTCTAGGTTTTCTAGTTTGTGTGCATAAATGTGTTCATAGTAGCCTTGAACGATCTTTGTATTTCTTTGGTATCAGTTACAGTATCTCCCATTTCATTTCTAATTGAGCTTATTCTATTCTTCTCTCTTCTTCTGGTTAATCTCACTAATGGTATATTGATTTTATTTTTCCACAGAACCAGCCTTTAGTTTCATTTATCTTTTGTAGTGTTTGTTTCAGTTTTATTCAGTTCTGCTCTGGTCTTTGTTAACAATTTCTTTTCTTCTGCTGGGTTTGATTTGTTCTTGTTTCTCTAGTTCCTTGAGGTGTGAGCTTAGATTGTCTATGCTCTTTCAGACTTTTTGATATAGACATTTAATGCTATGAACTTACTAAGAATAGTGCCACCTTTGCAGTATCCCAGAGGTTTTGATAGGTTGTGTCACCATTGTTCAGTCAGTTCAAAAAAATCTTTTAATTTCCATCTTGATTTCATTGTTGATGCAAAGATCATTCAAGAGCAGATTATTAAATTTCCATGTATTTATTTGTATACAGTTTTGAGGGTTCCTTTTGAAGTTAATTTCCAGTTTTATTCCACTGTGATGAGAGAGGGTACATGATACAATTTCAGTTTTCTTAAGTTTATTGAGACTTGTTTTGTGGCCTACCATATGGTCTATCCTTGAGAATGTTTCATGTGCTGATGAAAAGAATGTATATTCTGCAGTTGTTGGGTAGAATGTTCTGTAGGTATCTGTTAAGGCCATTTGTTCTAGGATATAGTTTAAGTCTATTGTTTCTTTGTTGGCTTTTGGTCTTAATGACCTGTCTAGTGCAGTCAGTGGAGTATTGAAGTCTCCCACTATTTCTGTGTTGCCATCTATCTAATTTCTTACGTCTAGTAGTAATGGTTTTATACATTTGCAAGTTCTGGTGGTAGGTGCATATATATTTAGGATTGTGATATTTCTTGTTGGACTAATCGTTTTACTATTATATAATGTCCCTCTGTCTCTTTTTAACTATTGTTGCTTTAAAGTCTGTTTTGTTTGATATAAGAATAGCTACTTCTGCTTGCTTTTGGTTTCCATTGGCATGGAATATCTTTTTCCACCCCTTTCCCTTAATTTTATGTGAGTCCTTACGTGTCGGTGAGTCTCTTGAACACTGCAGATACTTGGTTGGTGGATTTTTATCCATTCTGACATTCTGTATCTTTTAAGAGGAGCATTTAGGCCATTTACATCCAATGTTAGTATTGAGATGTAAGGTACTGTTCTATTCATCATGCTAGTTACTGCTTGAATACTTTTTTGTTTTGTTTGTTTGTTTTTCATTGTGTTATTGTTTTATAGGCCCTGTGAGATTTATGCTTTAAGGAGGTTCTATTTTGGTGTACTTCAAGGTTTTGTTTCAACATTTAGAATTCCTAAGCTGGGTGTGGTGGCTCACACCTGTAATCTCAGCACTTTGGGAGGCCCAGCGGGCATCACCTGAGGTCAGGAGTTCAGGACTAGCCTGGCAATCATGGCAAAACCCAATCTCTAAAAAAATACAAAAATTAGCCAGCCGTCATGGCGATTGCCTGTAATCCCAGCTAATCAGGAGGCTGAGGCACAAAAATCACTTGAACTCATGAGGCAGAGGTTGCAGTGAGCGAAGATCACACCATTGTACTCCTGCCTGGGCAACAGAGCAAGACTCATCTCAAAAGAAAAAACAATTTAGAACTCCTTTCAGCATTTCTTATGGTGCTTGCTTGGTAGTGGCAAATTCTCTCAGCATTTGTTTGTCTGAAAAAGACATCTCTCCTTCATTTATGAAGCTTAGTTTTGTTGGATACCAAATTCTTGGCTGATAATTATTTTTTTAAGGAAGCTAAAAATACAGCCCCAATCCCCTCTGGCTTGTACAGTTTCTGCTGAGAAATTGTTGTTAATTTGATAGGTTTTCCTTTATAGGTTACCTGATGCTTCTGCCTCACAGCTTTCAAGATTCTTTTCTTCATCCTGACTGTAGACAAACTGATGACTCTGCCTACGTGATGATCTTTTCGTGATGAATTTCCCGGGTGTTTTTTGAGCTTCTTGTATTTGGATGTCTAGATATCTAGGAAAACCAGGGAAGTTTTGTCAATTAAGTTTTCCAAACTTTTAGTTTATTCTCTTCCTCAGGAACACCAATTATTCTTATGTTTGGTCGTTTAACATAATCTCAAATTTCTTGGAGGTTTTGATCTTTTTAAAAAAAAAAAAAAAAAAATTTTTTTCTTTGTCTTTGTCCGATTGGGTTAATTCAAAAGCCTTGTCTTCAAACTCTGAAGTTATTCTTGTTTGATTTGCATTTCATTTTTCTGGAGACTTTCATCCACATCCTGTTTTGTTTTTTGTTTTTTGTTTTTAATTTAGGTTGGTTTTCACCTTTCTCTCGTACCTCCTTGAGTAGCTTAACCTGAATTCTTCATCTGGCAATTCAGAGAATTCTTCCTGGTTTGGATCCATTGCCGGAGAGTTAGTGTGATCTCTTGGAGGTGTTATAGAATCTTGTTTTGTCACATTACTAGAATTACTTTTCTGGTTCCTTCTCATTTGAGTAGACTGTTTCACTGGAAAGATCTGGAACTCAAGGGCTGCTCTTCAGGTTCTTTTTTCCCATAGGGTGATCCCTTATTATGCTGTTCTCCCCCTCTCCCTAGGGACAGGGCTTCCTGAGAGCCAGACTACAGTGATTATTATTGCCCTTCTGGGTCTAGCCACCCAGTTGGGCTACCATGCTCCACGCTGGTGCTGGGGAATGTCTGCAAAGAGTCCTGTTAGGTCTTCAGGTCTCCTGGCCATGGATACCAGTACCGCTCTGGTGGAGGTAGCAGGGCAGTAAAGTGAACTCTGTGTGAGTCCTTGGTTGTAATTTTGTTTAGTGCACTGGTTTTCTCAAATGCTGGTTTTGCTAGCAGTGAAGTTGTGATCTGGAGAGACTCAGGACCTCTGGTTAGTCAGGGTGTTGCAGGCTGTGGAATTAACTGTTTTCTCCTTCTTTGGCGCAGAGTTGTTCTGTTATTATTTGCTGTGATGACTTGAGTTGGTTGGCCTCCAGGCAGGAGGTGGTGCTTTCAAGAGACAACCAGCTGCCATAGTAAATTGCCCTACCTTGGCCTGGATAAGTACTCAGGGTTTCTCAGGTGGTGGGCAGGGTCATAGAGCTCCTAAGAGTTTGTCTTTTGTTTTCAGAGTTTTTTGGCTGTCCTGTGGAGTTTGTAGTGGCAGGCCACTTCTTTCAAAGAGTCTGTGAATTCTTCCAATTTTCCTGGTATGTTCCTATGGTGGTTCTCGGAGCAAAAGTTCACAGTGTGAGTCTCCACACACTGTTCTGTCCGTCCATGTGGGAGCTGCTCATTAGTCCTGTCTCCTATCTGCCATTTTCCTCCCCAGCACAGCAGACCAACATGTTTGCCTCTTCTCTGTTTTGTTCTCTCCAGGGCCCCAACAGATGGGATGGTGCCCACTCACATTTGAATGCAGAGCTTCCCTCCCTACTCCAGAGATTCACATGCTAATCTCTGCTCATTCATTTTTAAACCATTCAATTATAAAAGCCTTGGATTTTTCAGACACCTGTTACCTTTTTCCCTTTCTCAACCATTATTCTTTGCCATTTAACCCTTGCAATAATCCATGCTCCTTTATTAACTATTTTCCCTTAAGAGCTGCCATTTTGCTGCCATGAAAAAACAATTCTAATGTCAAAAACATTTTACACGAAAGAGATATGAACTCTTCTTTTTAAAGTATATCTTACAAGATTATGCTTCACCGTGTAACACAAGGTGCTGATAAAAGAAAAAAGTGCTATATCAGGTGATAGTCTTAAAAGTTTTTAAAAGTTTCATTTCCATATTGGTAGTAGTCTCAGAGATTCATGCCTATAAAACTTCATCAGCTCTTGCAGATACTGCTGTCAATTTCATAGTCCCCTAATAACTAGATGATTTAACTAGATACATATTTAAATTATAACATGTTATCTTCCAGATTTTGTCTTCCCTTATCTAAGATCATATTTTAATATTACCATAAGATGAGATATAAGGCAGTTTTTCTCAAGATCATCCCTCAGAAAAGAAGTGTTGCTTTACCTCAAGTCCTACTGAGCCTATTAAAAGGAATTTGAGGAGAAGAAAAAAAAAATTTTAATGTTCAAAAAAAGATGCTCTCTCAGCTTGTTTCAAATAATAAAATACTGTTTCAGAAGACACCAGCCTGAAAAGATTCCAAATCTCAATTGATAATAATTTTAGATGCAGAATAAAGAATACCCAACATAATTGATTGAAACAAAAGAGGCAAGAAATTTTAAACAGATTTATTAATTTACTGATTGATCACCCTACATTTGCAGGTGTTAGATATCCTTAAGAATAAACATACCTTATAGAAACTTTAATTAGCCTGGGCAACATAGTGAGACCACATCTCTACAAAAAATCAAAAATTAGCTAGGCATGGTAGTATACACCTGAGGCTGAGGTAGGGGGGAAAGAAAGAAACTTTAACAAACCAGTACAGTACAGAAGTGCCTACTCATTGAGGTCACAGATACATCACTACAATATGAATAAAAACCAAAAAAACCTTCTTAATGCATGCAAATGTGTGTTATACAGTTAAGTAACATACATTTCACCTTAATAAAAATGAAGATGAAATGCTTTAGAAACTATTTTATCAAAAGTGACTCTGATACAAAGACTTGTATATGATTGTTCATAGTAACTATTAATGACAAAAAGTGGTCACAAGCCAAATGTCCATTAACTGATAAGCAAAATGTGGTATATCTATACAATGGAGTATTATGCAGCCCACAAAATGGCATGGAGTAGTGTTACATGCTACAACGTGGATGAGCCTCAAAAACGTTATGCAAAATGAAAAAGCCAGATACAGGGAAACCATATGTCATATGATCCCATTTATATGAAATAGCCAGAAAAGGCAAGTCATCAAAACAAGATAGATTGAGGATGGGTTAGAGGACTACAAATGGCACCAGGGATCTTTTCAAGTTGATGGAAATATTCTAAAATCAGACTGGTTGTAGTTGAACAAGTCTGTTACAATTTACTAAAATGCATTGAATTAATACACTTAAAACAGCTGGATATTATGATGTACAATTATTCTTTAGTAAAGGTGTTTTTTTGTTTTTGAGATGGAATCTCACTCTGTCACCCAGGCTGGAGTGCAGGGGCACAACTTTGGCTCACTGCAGCCTCCATCTCCCAAGTTCAAGCAATTCTGCCTCAGCCTCCCTAGTAGCTGGGACTGTAGGCAACCGCCACCATGTCTGGCTGATTTTTGTATTTTTAGTAAAGATGGGGTTTCACCATATTGGCCGGGCTTGTCTCGAACTCCTGACCTTGTGATCCGCCCCCCTTGGCCTCCCAAAGTGCTGGGATTACAGGTGTGAGCCACCATGCCGGGCCTAGTAAAGCTTTTTTTAAAATATGGCTCTAGTATTGCTAAAGACATTGATATCAAAAATGCAGTTTGAATAATTCTTTCAAAAATAAAGTGAGACTTTTCAGGAAAAGTTTATATATTCAGTACTATAGGTAATTTTTTTTAAGAAGAAACTCTTTATTTTCAGTGTTATAAACAGAACTTCATTTATAGCGTAATAAACATACTTTCAATTTCTTTACAACCTAAAGAATAAGACCCCTCGATTACATTTTATGTTTTGTCTTAAATATTTCAAAACCCATCCATGTCATCTTGATAATTTTACTCTTCCTTGATATGATGATATTTCCCTTATGGGAAACTTCCATCAGTGGCTGTATTTGAAAAGCAAGAAGACACTATTGGCATCTGAACAGTTCTATTAGGATGTTAAATTTTTAAAAATACTATATACTAACTCTTGAATTTATTTATTTATTTAAATGCCAGCTACCTAATGCTGCTATAAGATTATTGCAATTGTGTTTTTATCCAAGTATAATTTTTAAAATAAAATCACGTTGCATTGTATTTTTCTAAAATCATTGGATTTGTAATTCAATCATGTAGACTTATTATTTATTTTAGGGCCTAGAAAAAAGAAAAGAAACTTCAGTGATTCCAGCCTATTTGTATCTGCTGAAGAGGTAAGGCTAATACACTGTTTTAAGCTAGCTATTCTACATTATTTTTAGTTTGCTAATAAATTTGTCTTTTTTTTTTTTTAAGTTTGGCCATCTATTGGATGAAAATATGGGATCCAAGTTTGATAACATTGGCATGAATGCCATGGCTAACAAAGATAATGCAAGTAAGTAATTTAAATTTTTTTATTGACATTTTAAAAACAGCTTTGGCTTAGGACGTCAGAAGATACATTTTTTTTTTTTTGAAACAAAGTCTCGCTCTGTCACCCAGGCTAGAGTGCAGTGGCATGATCTCAGCTCACTGTAACCTGTGCCTTGCAGGTTCAAGCAATTCTCCTGCCTCAGCTCCCAAGTAGCTGGGATTACAGGCATACACCACCATGTCCAGCAACTTTTTGTATTTTTAGTAGAGAAGGGGTTTCACCATGTTGACCAGGCTGATCTCGAACTCAAGTGACCCACCCACCTCAGCCTCCCAAAGTGCTGGGATTACAGGCGTGAACCACCATGCCTGGCTGATAGGAGTATTTTTGAAAGACCTTTTCATGGTACTTTACAACCTGGAAAGATTGGCTTTTTCTTCTCTCAGAGAGAATATAAGATTAAAAAGTATTTATACTACAGCAAAAAAAAAACCCCTGCAGACTACAAAAATTACTTTTTTTTAGGGAGGTAGGCCATTTTTACATAGCATGAATTTGCTAAGTAATTTTACATGTTTATAGACATCTTCATTATCTCTGATATTGACTGTTACTGGTTTTTATTTCACCAGTAAAAGTGCTTAGGGAAAGAAAATCTTTAGAGCATTTGTTTCTTTTCATTACTTAGTCATTTCTTAATGAAAACATTAATCTTTGACAATAAATATAAGAAGAAAAGCAACAAACAAGAAGCAGTGAATTTGTATAGTGGGTGGGAAACTGCAGGCCAAGGCAGGCTAGCAGTTCTTTTGACTCAGCAGCATGTTCTGTGGGACCGCCAAGTGGGATAGTACTCTCATCTTTTCTTCTCCCAAAGGTCTCAAACAGCTTAGATGGGAGGCCGAACGTGATGACTGGCTACACAACAGAGATGTAAAAAGTATCATCAAGAAAAAGAAAAATTTTAAAAAGAAGAGGATTAAAACCACTCAAAAAACTAAAAAGCAAAGGAAATGAGAGTTTATTAATGTAAATTACAAATTAAAATTTTACTTACATCTAATTTTTGCTCTCCAACCATTTTTTTTCATCTAGCTCTCTGATTCCATATATTCCGGACATCTCAGTGGATCTGTAATAAACTATAAATAAAATAGCTGTCATTTATAAAGTAATGTGGAAATATTGTTAAACTTCTTGAAAAAAATGGAAATATTGCTACATAACAAAATGAAAAAGAGGACAGGATTACAGACTTGACATATAAGCCCTGGCATCTCTAATCATTGTAATGAGCACTATTTAGTATAACTGTGTCATCTTGTTCAGTCATTATCTACTTGACAGAGAAAGAGACAGCTCCAAGAAGTTAGCAAACCTGAGATGAAACTGATCTTTTAAAACCAAAGGTTTAAACTGTGGTTTGATTCTATCACCTCACATATGAATGGTTCCAGAATTTACATTCTTAACCACTAGAATTCAGAATCCAGCTCATTACCTAATTCTTCTCTCACTAGAATAGATGAGAATGTACTCTAGTCTCAGAACTAAAATAGATGTGAATAGTATTTTTAGAAATTGACATACCACAAAATAAAGTCATTTAGTTCTTAGTTCCTTGTAAATTAATTACAACTTAATTTATAGGTTACCTGAAAAAGTTGTTTCATACTTTAAGGAAAAACATACCTTTCAAGATGAAGGGAAATTTCTTGCTCATTGTTTGCCTAAAATCTAATGGGGGAAAAAAAGGATGTCTTGAAATTAGATTCAAACAAATTCATTACATTAATACAGCCGCAATTTAATGCTAGCTTTAGGGTCCATATGATGGGAACCATATAGATTTGAAATTTGTTTAAAAGTCCTTCCGGTAATCCAGGAACTATCCCCTTTTGGATAAGATCTAGGTTGCACTTGCCTTAATATGATAGCCGTAGGGTTTTTAAATTTTCACCTGTATATCCAATATAATTTTTTTTTTTTTTTTGAGACGGAGTTTCGCTCTTGTTGCCCAGGCTGGAGTGCAATGCAGCGATCTCGGCTTACTGCAACCCCCACCTCCCAGGTTCAAGCGATTCTCCTGCTTCAGCCTCCTGAATAGCTGGTATTACAGGCATGTACCACCATGCCCAGCTAATTTTGTGTTTTTAGTAGAGACGGGGTTTCTTCATGTTGGTCAAGCTGGTCTTGAACTCCTAGCCTCAGGTGATCCACCCGCCTCCCAAAGTGCTGGCATTACAGGCGTGACCCACCACACCCGGCCGCAATGTTTATTTTTAAATGGTACCTGAAAGCAGATTTTGAGCGTGAATGTGTAGCTCCCTATGTAAATTTATGAATTATTTTTATGGATGTTATTTTACCTCTATAAGAAATTATAAATAAGATCATAATCAGTTTTGGTTTTAGTTTTGTTTTGTTTTGTTTTGCAAGATGAGACTTGTTCTGTCACCCAGGCTTAAGTGCAGTGGTGTGATCTTGGCTCACTGCAACCTCAGCCTCCCGAGTTCAAGTGATTCTCCTGCCTCTGCCTCCTGAGTAGCTGGGATTACAGGCAGGTGTCACCACGCCCAGCTAATTTTTGTATTCTTGGTAGAGAGGAGGTTTCACCATGTTGGCCAGGCTGGTCTCTTGACATGTCGTGATCCGCCTACCTTGGCCTCCGAAAGTGCTAGGATTAAAGTTTTGGTTTTAGATTTTGTTTTTGTCTTTTTGAGACAAGATCTCTCTCTGTTGCCCAGGCTGCAGAACAGTGGCACAATCACAGCCCACCACAGCTGAGATGCCTCCCTGGGCTGGGCTCAAGTGAGCCTCCTACCTCAGCCAAGGTTGAATAGCTGGGACAAGGCTCAAGGGAGCCTCCTGCCTCAACCTCCCGAGTAGCTGGGACTACAGGAGCATACCACCACGCCCAGGTTTTTTTTGTTTGTTTGTTTTGTTTTGTTTTGTTTTAAGACAGGTTCTGGCCGGCCCGGTGGCTCACGCCTATAATCCCAGCACTTTGGGAGGCCGAGGCGGGTGGATCACGAGGTCAAGAGATCAAGACCATCCTGGTCAACATGGTGAAACTCCGTCTCTACTAAAAATACAAAAAATCAGCTGGGCATGGTGGCACGTGCCTGTAATCCCAGCTACTCAGGAGGCTGGGGCAGGAGAATTGCCTGAACCCAGGAGGCGGAGGTTGCGGTGAGCCGAGATCGCGCCATTGCACTCCAGCCTGGGTAACAAGAGCGAAACTCTGTCTCAAAAAAAAAAAAAAAAAAAAGATACAGGTTCTCGCTATGTTACCCAGACTAGGCTCAAGCGATCCTCCCACCTTGGCCTCCCAAAGTGCTGGAACTAAAGTGCGAGAGCCACCACATCCAGCGATAACCAGTTCTTAAAATTGATCCCAGATTTTAATTTGCTTTTAAATACTTTTGGGATGTTTTCTTTATACCCTTGCTTCAAGTTTAAAAGAAGAGAGATTTTGTGAGTGTCCAGTAGCATCTTGGTAGAGCATTCCAACAAAGTATGCTGAGGAATACTATGTGACAAGTTTCAAAGATGGCTATCACCCTAGGACTGTGCCCTGTTTTAGAGAAAAATCACTTCCTAATTTAAAAAGTTGAGGGCTCTAATATAAAATTTTCCCCCAAAAAAATGTTAAAGAACTTTCAGCCATAGCATGTGAAAGTCTTTTAGTACCCACTGTTAATGCCCAGGAAGAAAACTAAAGCCTGAGAAAACTGGTTCCTCCGAGAAAACAGCAATGCCACTTACTTTCTTAGTCTACTAAATAATGAAATGTAATGGACAGACTAAGTTTCCTCCATCTGTGCTCCCAAACTAAGCCAGACCAAGGACACTTGCTCTACCCTCCCGAGTAGTAAAACTCATGGAGATAAGAAATTTTTTCCTTAGTCTACAAACAACATTTTTAAGGGAGAAGGGAGAATCATCTAGGCTATAATAATAATTTGAATCATGTTCTGCCCATAAAAATGTCTAATATGGCTTAAATCTGAAGAAGCAATTTCTCCAAAAATGTCATTTCTATTTAATACACAAAATGTATTGGCAAATTATACTGCTTTAAAAAGCATTAACTTCTGAATTACCTTGGCTTCCGTGCATCTTGTTAAACAAAAAATATGCTCCAAAAATGCCTAAAAGTTCAGCTACCAAAACTCCTTTAAAGATCTTCTTTGCTAGTGGTTCCATAGTACGGGCCATCCTAAATTTAACAACAAATACGTGTAAGCTTAAATGAGCATATGTAAACTATTACCATTTCCCTAATAACTCAAATTCATTCCCACAGTTTGAATGGCTTATCTGTATGGGAATAAGACCCCAATATTATGGTATACTTTTTCGGTTTAGACATCCAGCATACCTAGTTTTCAAACTCCATGCCTGAGGGGCATGATGAACAGGACAAAATTGGATAAAGTACAGGAAAGAGATAAAATTCAAGAAAGCATTGTAAAAAGAATAATTTATGGATTAATTGTGTAGGAAAACAGAATGGGGAAGAGAGGTTAAATCAATTTTTTAGCTGCACTGGGAATTAAGAAATCATCTAAATGAATACAACATGTAGTAAATAGCTCTTTGTAAAGTGCCCTGCAAAAGTAAGATTTTTCTGAAATGGTTCTACACTTTCTATGGCTGGAGTTCTTTTATTAATATAACATATACTAATATATACATATATACTAATGTATATTATATAGCATATATAAGTATACTATATACATAGTATATATACTAATATAAGTATAGTATAACAACATATACTAATAATACAGCATATACTAAACTATTAATACAATAGATACGAAACTATGTGCCATAGTTCAAGCATTTGGAGTCCAATGGCACGATCTCAGCTCACTGCAACCTCCGCCCCCTCGGCTCAAACAGTCCTCCCACCTCAGCCTCCTGAGTAGCTGAAACCACTGGCACGCACCACCAAGCCTGGCTATTTTTTTGTATTTTTAGTAGGCACAGGGTCTCACCACGTTGCCTAGATTGGTCTCGAGCCCCTGAGCTCAAGCAATCCGCCCACCTCAGCCTCCCAAAGTGCTGGGATTACAGTTGTGAGCCACCATGCCCAGCCTATAACAGGTCTTAAAACTTTCAATGCACTATCTAAGAAGCTTGTTTAAAATGCACTTTCCTGAGCCTCAGCCTGCAGTTCTCCACTTCCCAATCTCCAGATTCTGATTCAGCAGATCTAGGATTGGCACCCCAGTAATCTGCCCTTTAGTAGACATTCTCAGTAATTTTTATACAAATGGGGGCGGGGGGTGGAAACTGATTGGGTGATGAACCAGTAAGTGGCAAAACTACAGACTCATTCTATCTTGATTCTCTTCCTTTAAAAGTTAATCAAAAAAAGGGTTTGTGTCATTTTTTTTTTTTCAAATTAAACAAGAAAATAGAATATATGACTCTTACTGAATAAATTAATGTAAACCCAGGTTTTTAGTCTGCCTCCTTATAACCTCAAAGTCCAGATGAGAACCACTCATTTTTCATCTCAGACTTTTCTGTTGTCCTCTCTGTGCTCTTTTGTCCTCAGTCCCAGCACCCTGCTGTCAGTTACTCCATTCACTTCTGACCCCTTTTCAATGCCTGAGGGTGGGAGTAATCAAATAACCTTCCTTTTGTAGGATTATCCTGCTAATATCATTACCATGTGGCCCTCCCCACCACTACCCCGAATTCCTTCATTTTGATAATGTGATCACCCTGGGAACCAAAAGATTAAAACTTTATTATTATTATTTAAAAGAAATGAAGCAAACAAAGTTACAAGGGAATTCATATATAACCAAAAGGCAGTTGAGTGGTGGGAAGGGAGGGTTGTTTTTGCTCCATTCACTACAGTGCTGTACCCGACTGACAGAAAATAAATCAAGTCATGCTCAGTACAGATGGCTCTCTTGGGGTTATTTTTATTTTTATTTTTATTTTTTTTTTTTTGAGATGGGGTCTTGCTCTGTCTCCCAGGCTGGAGTGCAGTGGTGTGATCTTGGCTCACTGCAATCTCCACCTCCCAGATTCCAAGCAATTCTCTACCTCTACCTCCTGATAGCTGAGACTACAGGTGCGCCACCACGCCCAGTCCTTATTTATTTATTGATTTGTTTATTTATTTATTTATTTATTTCAGAGACAGAGTATCGCTCTGTTGCCCAGGCTGGAGTGCAGTGGCCCAATCTCAGCTCACTGTAACCTCTGCCTCCCTGGTTCAAGTAATTCTCCTGCCTCAGCCTCCCCAGTACCTAAAACTACAGGCACCCACCACCATGCCCAGCATATTTTTTGTATTTTAGCATCGTGTTGCCCAGGCTGGTCCCGAACTCCTGAACTCAGGCAATCCGCCTGCCTTGGCCTCCCAAAGTGCTAGGATTACAGACATGAGCCACCAAGCCTGGCCTATTTTTTTTTTTTTTTTTTTTAATTAAAGACTAGGTCTTGCTCTGTCTCCCTGGCTGGAGTGCAGCGGTGCAATCTCGGCTCTCTGCAACTTCCGTCTCCCAGGTTCAAGCGATTCTCCTGACTCAGCCTCCCGAGTAGCTGAGATTATAGGCGTGTGCCACCAGGTCTGGCTAATTTTTTGCATTTTTAGTAGGGAAGAGGTTTCACCATGTTGGTCAGGCTGGTCCGGAACTCCTGACCTCAAGTGATCCTCCCGCCTCAGCCTCCCAAAGCGCTGTGATTACAGGCGTAAGCCACCGCACCCGGGCTCTTGGGGTTACTTTTTAACGTTCAAGGGATGAACAGAGGCTGGCTGCAGCCAGTTCCATTACTCAAGAAATCGAAGTAAAATTTTGTTTCAAGAGAGGGCGATGCTAAGGGTTCAAAAAAATAAAGTCCATCTGTAGGCCAGGGTTAAAAGGAAAATAAATAAAGTCCAAATAATACTGTACGGCTGCTCTGGTGTATAGTGGTGAGCACAGCTGCCTCCAAATAACATCGTACAACAAGGTATTTACCCTTTTAAAAAATATATATATACACGTTTTGCACTCCGAGGCCCTCGCCTTCAGGGGGCTGATGATAAAACTTCAAGCCCCTTTGCTACAGACCACCAGAGACACACCGGTCCACCCACAACAAAGTGAGTTTTACCAGCTGCGGCAAGGGAGGCTTGGCAGAGGAGCGCCTGCCTTCCCCGCACGGGGACAGGCATCGCTCCGGCGAAGTTTAACACCAAGCCGCCTCTGACAGGTTCGGCGCAGGGCTGTCACGCAGTTAACTTCACGCGGGGCTGAGAAGCTGACTCCGGAACACAAGCTCAAGACAAATGAGCAATGCTGGGTCGGAAGCCCCGGGAATCGGGGCTGCTTCGCTGTGCGGGGCGGCCTCCCAGCTCAGCGCCCGCAGGCGACGCGGCTGCGAGCAGCAACGTCTCTCCCCGTCCAGCTGTGCAGAGCACGGCTTCTCCGCAGAGGCCTGGTGCCTCAGGCTGGCCGTCTTCGCTCCCCCGCCCCCGGCTTTTGCCGCGGTTCCCACCCAGCTCCCGCTTCCCCCGGTTCCCTACTGCCCCCGGCTGCCCTCGGCGCTCCCAGAGCCCGCGGAACTCTCGGGCCGGGCCTGCAGGCGACACGCGCGGGTACCCACGCAGCACGGCCAGGCCGCCGGGTCAAGGTCGCCCAGCGACCCGGAAACGCTCGCCTCCAGTGAACGGAGGTAGTGACACCTGACTGTCCTCTACATGCCCCAGAACTGGGATGAGGACCCACGCAGAAACCCGCCCCACTCTCGGCGCATTGGAGACCTCCAAATCCAACCCCTGACGAGAAGCCACGCGGCGCTGTCTCACCTCAGGTGCCTGCAGGAGAGACCGCGAACGCGAAAGGGCTGACGACGCCCCGCCCCTTCCGGT